AGCAATACTAGAAACACTGGCCAAGGTCACTCAGTCCTTCGGCATGGTGTTCACTAGACTCTGCTTTAACACGATAGCGTTATTACGTCAAGACCGAGTCCAAACAAGCCACCCGTTCAAAGCACAGATCACGGAAGATGTAGTTTTAGAGACTAAACCGTCTACTGGTGACCGGATGTGGTACGATAAAATCACCATGTTGTCACTCTGCCTTACATTCCTGTGCTGATAAATGCTACTGCTCTGATGTATCGCGTCCAACACGTCTTTCAGTTTTGCACTAATGCGAATTTTGTTGCAAGCGACACAGCGGAACAAAGGATACTACCTTGAAGAGTTTAGAAAGGCGGGTTTTTTCGCCCTCGAAAGAGACCCATGTAACATGCTCCGTTTCTGGTTACAAGGATGTCACTGAAGGGAGGAGGCATCGAAGAGAAACCATTATGCATCGACATCAGTAGATCAACGCGTAGAAAAAAAGCATTTTTCTTGTACTATTCAAACAGCCAATCCCTCGAGTCAGGATGAGTTGTCGTTAGCTTGTTCGAAACTTACCGCCCCGTGTGATCAGAATAATCTCGAATTGACAAACTTCTTTCGTTTCTGGCCGGGAAAGAACTGAGTGACGATAGGGGACGATAGCCGTTTAAGCCAAATGATGAATCGGGCAGCGCCTTTGAGGGAACTGAGGTTGTAACAGGTGGAAAACGTTGGTAATATTATCTTTGGTCGGTACAAGCAGAGATTAACGTTCCATCAGACTTGTCCAATGCGCAGAAGGAGTAGCAACGCCGCCCATCAAAGGCATCAACACAAGATAGATCGGGTCTGTTGATGTTGTGAGGAGATTTGGGTTTTCGTCCCGTACGTGAAATCAATCTATGCTGAAAAGCCGGGAAGCGCTGCACAGCTGTTTCATTCTTAGTGCGCATCTCACGAACCTCCTAAGAGTTTCGAACCTGCGAGCTCCTGGTTATTCATTTGAACACTTATCCATTTGGCGACGAGTAGCTGTACAGCACTGTCAGTAACTTGCTCCTGGACAGGATATAGCGTTTTTCATCCTCCAATCACGGGACCCGGAACCTGTATTCACACACGTTGATTGTCTCATCGGGCTTTTCAGGCGCTTCGTTCGTCCGGAGAATTTTATTTCCTAAGCTACTTATAGATTGTTGATAGTGAGAGGATAGTTGGAATTTATTACTCGACTACTTTCAACTGTGACCATATTTTGATTGCAAGAACAAAGTTTACCAGAGAAGAACAGGAACACGGTTATATTCTGCTGTTATCTGACGACGTGTCTGTTGTTCAACTGTCAATCTGATCTAA